TTGTAATGATATTTTTATCAAGTTTTGAAGTACGTTCAGATACGAAGTGACTTTGAATAGAAGTTTCGAAGGACTTGATATTCTCGAAATTCAAAAGCTTAACGACATCTTCACTGAAAATAAAACTTCCATCTTCATTGCAATGAGAAAGGTATCTCTTGATTGAACCAACATCAACGGAATGATTTTCTTCGATGTAAGAAGCTTTTCTTTTATTTTTGACTAAAAGTCGTTTGTAAATAAAAACGAGAATTGCATAGGTTAAAAAAGAAAAAGTCTCGCAATAAATCAATCTTAAATTTAAGAAACTATTCAAACCAATAAGCTGTGATCTCTTCTCTTCGGATTTTTCGTGATCAATTGCTTTTTGTTTGTTTTCAACGGCTGAAGCGAAACTATGATCATCTTCAATTGATGATGATTCGACTTTATGTCGTTTGATAATAAATTTCCTGGCACTTGCTAAGATTTGTTGTTCCAATTTTGAGTCATCATTACATTGAACTCTTAAATATTCGGATGCGTTATCAAAAACCTTGAACCAATCTTTACGATAGTCTAAAGCTACATAACGTAGAAACTAAATTGTGCAAAAGGTAACCCAAACATCCCGGTGAACCTTTTCGCTGTGAAAATGGATTTGAAGTTCTGTTGTGAACTCCTCAATGCTTTCAAATCTGAAGTATTCGGCAGTCTTGTTGTCAAGGGGAATAGAACCAGTTTGGGTTTGATATTTCAGAATATGACTAACGGTTCGAGTAGTAACTGATTTACGTGTAATTATGACTCGTTTTTTACCTGATAAAGATTGGAAAACAAAAGACGAAATATGTCAATTATAAAATTCAAAGGTCAAAACAAAGAAAGAAAAAGATGATATGATTAAAAGTTTTTTCTCTAATTACATGTAACTAAACTGTTCTGTTGTTCTTCATCCTCATATTTATTAATTTGGAATCTTTCAATGATGAATTTTTCACAAGCGCCGTATAATTCGTCTCTAAGTTCAATATCATCGATTTCTAAAATCAACCATTCTTTACTATTTGAAATAATCTTTGCCCACTCTTGACGATGTCTCCAACATAATAATATCAGATATGTGATCACTAATGCAGTACTAAGGATGAATTGGCTTAACTTTCGCAATCGTACTTCAGCAGTGGTGAATTTTATGAAGGTGATCCTTAATTCTTCATCGGATTTACAATTAAAGAAACGAGCCAAGTTGTCCGAAAATTCGAAAGAATCGTTCGTAAGTCTCAAACTGAAGAGAATGCAAAGGTGATTAAGATCGATGATTTCTCGTTTAAAGATAAAGCTCTCTTCCAAGTCAAAAGATATGGAAAAGAATTGTACTTCCATGTTCAATTCTCCCTTAAATATTTTTCCAATTTGAAGTGGGAACCATTCTTCTACCAGATCACTGGTAGTGAAAGAACCATCCTCATTTCTATAAATCAACTTGGCAGTGTCAAGAACATAAGAACCAAAAGTTTTATCAGAAATGAATAAATTTTCGTCCATAATCTCAAAGGTGATTTTTTCACCAGGACCATGAATTGATACAT